GGAGTTTTACTCATATTATGCTATTTCTCTAATCATCCAATCCTATTGTCCAATTGGTCTTTGCAACGTTATTAATTCCATTGTCCTTGTGGTGAAAGTTTGGAGGACTTGGCAGCCACATATCTTTCAAGTCATTTGGCTATAAAGAGTTGTGACGGTGAGATCATTTGCATGTTGTGGAAGTGGAGTGAAAGATAGCAAGTGAACAGAGTAAAGCGTGTGAGTGGAGTTAGTAGTGTAATAAATAGAGTATTATTGTAAGAAATAGAAGTGAGGTGAGTTTAAGAATGGTACGCGTGGTGTCTGGTAGCGCAAAGCATCTCTTGTGTGTTCATGTAATTAACACAAAAGCTTGTGTGATATTCTATGTTGTTCAAAGAAGCTATTTTAAGCAATTAGGTCAAAATACCAATATATAAGACTAGTCTTCCTTGCATGCTTCAGCCTGCATGTGTGATCTATACTTCACTCGAGGGCTCAACGTAGGAGTTATTTATTAGCTTTATTAGCTAACAACTTAATTAAATAACTCTATTGGCTAATGACTTAAGCACTTCCAATATTTAAGTCCTAGGTTCAAGTCTAATTAATGAGACTTTGGTTTAATGGTCAAGTTTGAGATTTCAAATCCTGTAAGTTTTGGATTCAAGTCTCACTAATGTAGTGAGTGTTTGCTCCCATTTTATGTGGGTTAGTTTGAGTAATATTGAATTGTAATTTCCACCATTTGTGGTAAAGGTAAGCATGGCTGGGGTACCTACTTCATGCGGCACATTTTGTTAGCTCGATCCACACCTTATAGGTCAACTATTTTCCAACGCTTACCGCCCAACTTGAGTCATTAATGTGAGTTTTTTCTCCTATACGTGAGCTAGTTTCTAGTAATATTGAATTGTAGTTTCTACCTTTTGTAGTAGGAGTCGGCACGAGTTAGATACCCCGCCCTATATGGCATTAACTTAACCTAACTCGTACTTTGTGGGTTATTCATTTTTTTGACCCTAACCATCTCGCATGTCAACAAGTAACACATGACTAGAATAGGCCCGGGATAGGTATCAAATCAGCGGTACCTGCCTTGCCCCTCTCATTATTTTTTTTAAAAATTGTTAATTTGATTTTGTATTTCACGTTGTCATCTAAGATTCAGCATATATGCCCAAAAACAAACATGCAAAGAGAATAAAAGAAAAAGGAAAAAATAAAAGAATCCAAAATCAATGAAAATTGCAATAAGAATTACCCGTTTCTTTTTTATATATTCTACACCAATTAAACTCGTTTCCAAGAGTATAGGATGATGACCTCACAAATGAATCTTATAAACAATTATAGTCTCTCATATTTGGGGTGTAATTTGTTTAATGAAATTGTTTGATTAGCTCTAAAAATAAGATTTTGTAGATGTATATAAAAATGAAAAATGAAAATATATATATATATATATATATATATATATATATATATATATATATATATATATATATATATGTGACGGGTTGAATACCCATGGGTTCTTAAATTTCAAATCCTAACCTTTCTTGCATATAAGTGAATACTAGACCCTCTTCTGACCTAATCAAATAATACGAATCAGGTAATTTAATTTTTGGAGCAGATTGGGTTAGTCGGTCAACGGGTTTCTTTGCCTGCCTCTAATCTATGGATTAGTTTGACTTATAATTTGTTTGTATTACGCCCACTATTATGAATTCTTATAATCTTATTAAAAAAAAGTGCTCAATTCGTAGTACTTAAGAAAATTGACGGTGAAAATTTAATGCCAAACAAACTATTACAGTAGCTAACTTGAGTAGCCAACAAACAACTTGTAAAACTATTGTTAGCCCAAGTTGGACGAAACATTATCGAGTGAGCCACAGTCCATTGCCGAGTCTTTATTCATTTTTTATGATAATTCCCAGAGACGCACTGGAATCACTGGAGCGCAAGTGCTAGTGTCCCTTTGTACTGTGCATTATGCATGAACAGTCTGGCCTGTGAACTAAACATGCCTGCCCAAGAAAAGAAGTAAGCCATAAATGTAAAAGGGAAAATCACAAGCATAGTCCTTTGCAGTAACACCTTCTACTATTTAAATCTCTCATATTTGAAATTAACAGCTTGGGTCCCTCATATTTTGCAAAATGTGTCATTTTGGTCTAAACTACAACTTTGATCAGCTTTTAGCCTGAAAGTGTTGGGCACATCCCGTCGACAAGAATGCAAGTGCAAAAATGAATTTGCAGCTCATGAACCAAACAAAATAATTAAGGGAAGTATCCTTTATATGTTAATAATAGCACTCCACTTGATTTTTTTTACTCATGTAAAAGGAATAAAATACTCCTATTTTACTTTTAATTACAAATTCATGAAAATGGGCTGCTATAAAATAAGTGAAGGTAGGGTGAGGGTGACAAGCGTATGGGGAGGGTTGAGAGGGTTACAAAAAGGGTGAAGGATAAGGCATTTGTCATAGTTAAAAGATCAACAGGGGTGCTGGTAACAATTTCCATAATTGATAACAAGAAAAGATATAAAGAAAAGAAGCCAACTTTAATCTTTGTTTCAAACATGTTTTCTTTTCATCCTTAAAATTCCAAGTTTAGTACTCGGGAATTAAATTTAGTCCATTTCTTCTATTTTAGTTTTCAAAAACCAAAATCGACTGCACAACTTTGCAACATTTTTCCATGTTCTTCTTCATTGTATACCTTCTCTCGTAATCAACAGATAAACTTCTGTATATGGTGCAATATTGATTGTGGAATTAAAGATTACCAAAAATATATTTTTTCGACATAATTTTTTTTTTTTTTGTTCAAAGGGAGGACCAAGAATTGTAAAGTAAGGAATAGAGGGTTCTACTCCTCTAGAGAAGGTTGACAGAGCAATCTTGAGCGGTCGTTATAGACAAGGAAAGGGCCGTGAAGCAATGATAGGATGGTGATGATTCAGGGGAGCTGCGGGGGTGGAAGGATTTATGGAGCAAGGATTGGGTGGTGGTGATGAACAACAAATAGTTGGCATTTGAGGTAATTTGTTAAAAGATTAGGGAATAGCACAAGATCATGAGAGTCCTGGTTTTCACAAGCAACATGGTTGTGGTTCGATTTTTTACCCATAAAATTTTTAGCCGCATAATGTGCACTTGCGTTATCAAGTCAAACTTCAATAATAAGAATAAAACTGTAATTTTGGACTGCAATTATATGTTCTTAAAACGAGAGAGTTAGTAAAGTTCAAAATAGAAATATGAAGTAATATTTCTGCAATTTTTTCCCACATAGGACCATAAGGTTGGTTAAATTGAATTGAAAAAGAATGAGATTGAGGTCATTTTTTCATCTTGTTTTACTGGCTTTTTTAAGGTATTGCCTCTGTTGTTCTCTTTTATGGTTTTTGTTTTTTACCTTCTAGGGTTCCATAAACAAGAAAGAAGAGGAGGCGTTTCTTACTGTTTTTTTTAATTCTTGTTGTAATTGTAACAAGTAAATAATGACTTCTTGTTGGAATTTATTGCTGGTTTGATTTTCCTTCGTCTTTTTTCCCTTTTTTGTTGGAACTTCTTGTATATGGTTTATCGAATGAGTTTTTGTACAGATTTTGTCTTTCTTGTTCGATGGTTTTTCTGAAAATGTATTTTTTACCTTTTTCTTGCTTATGTGGATTTTTAAGGCCAACTATATGTTTTGTTGGTGTCCATGGTCCTTTTTTTTTTGTTGGATGTGGCCTTTTATGAGATTTTTCTTTGTTGTAATTGTAACAAGTAAATAATGACTTCTTGTTGGAATTTATTGCTGGTTTGATTTTCCTTCGTCTTTTTTCGCTTTTTTGTTGGAACTTCTTGTATATGGTTTATCGAATGAGCTTTTGTACAGATTTTGTCTTTCTTGTTTGATGGTTTTTCTAAAAATGTATTTTTTACCTTTTTTTTGCTTATGTGGATTTTTAAGGCCAACTATATGTTTTGTTGGTGTCCGTGGTCCCTTTTTTTTTTTTTGTTGGATGTTGCCTTTTATGAGATTTTTCTTCCTTCGAAAGTGGTCTTTGTTTTTTGTATCTGTTTGTTTTCTTATTTCTTTGTATATTTTTTTTGAAAATGTATTTTTTACGTTTTTTTTGCTTATGTGGATTTTTAAGGCCAACTATATGTTTTGTTGGTGTCCGTGGTGCTTTTTTTTTTTTGTAGTTGGATGTTTCCTTCTATGAGATTTTTCTTCCTTCGAAAGTGGTCTTTGTTTTTTGTATCTGTTTGTTTTCTTATTTTTTTGTCAATGTATATTTTCCTTCGAAAGATGAGGATATACAGGAGGCACAAGAGACGGATTGGTCTAAGAAGGTGGAGGAGATGAGCAAAGGTGAAGAGCAGACACCTGGACCAGAATCAAGGGAGAATGGGAAGGAGATATCTGAAATGGAGCCATCTGCAGCAGGAGAGATGGGGAACAGGATTCAAACTAATGAGTTGGATGATGGAGGAAGTATGAAGACAGCTATGCAGGTGGATGGGGAGGAGCCTGTTCAAGCTAAATGTGTAGGAACAAGGAGAGGGAGGAAGGTGAAACTGTTAAACAAGATAAGTGTAAGAAATAGAACCCCCCTGAGAGAACTGCAGAATTTGGAACATGGATCTGAGCTGAACACCAAGAGGAAACTGCACATTGTGGATGAGGAAATGGTAGAGACGGCAGATGTGGATACAACCACTAAGAGGAATAAAGTGGGGAATGGGGAGACCGTTTTTGGCCGGGACAAGAGGGTGGAAGAGACCAGCCCAGTATGGTCTCTCAACCATTCATGAGGGCTCTGGTGTGGAACTGTCAAGGTGCTGGGAGCCCCTTGACCCAGCCCCTTGACAGTTCCCCATCTGAAGGAGGAAAACAGACTCCTCTCCCCAAATATTATTTTCCTAAGTGAAACAAAAAAATAGGAAAAACTACATGGAAAAAGTTAAAAAAATTCTGGATTTTGAAAATAGCTTTATAGTGGAAGCAATGAACAGAATTGGCGGCATGGCCTTACTGTGGAATAATGAGGTGAATATCTCTGAAGTTCTAGGAACAGCCTTCACTATTGAGGCAAAAGTGGAAGACAAAGAGAACAAGGAAAGTTGGTGGTTTATTGGTATATATGCTAGTTGTGATGGTCAGATAAGAAGGAAACAATGGGAAGTTATAAATAAAAGGAAATCAATCTGGGGAGCAAAATGGATAATCATGGGAGACTTTAACGACATTACTTCAAATGATGAAAAATGGGGTGGAAGGGTAAGAGATAATGGGAGCTTTCAAGACTTCAGGAATTTCATAAATGATAATCAGTTGGTTGATGTGGGTTATGAAGGGAAGCCGTGGACATGGAGCAACAACTGGTATGGGCCTGGAGAGGTAAAAGAAAGATTGGACAGAGGTTTATGCACTTTAGAATGGTCCAAATGTTATGAGGAAGCAAACTGTACTCATATAGAATCCCAGGCTTCTGATCATAGTATGTTATTACTGGAAACTCAGAAGGACAGAAAGCAAAGAAGAAAGAGATTCCAGTTTGACAAGAGGTGGCTCCAACAAAGTGAGGTTGAGGAAGTGGTTAAGAAAGCCTGGGACATTCCATGTGTTGGAACAAGATGGTTCAAGGTAAAAGAGAAAATTAAGAATTGCAGAATTGAGTTACTAAAGTGGAGCAGTAGCAAGAAAGGAAATTCCTCCGAAAAAATTAAATGGTGCAAAAGCCAGATTGAGGAAATCAAGGCATCTAATGGAGATAACAAGAAGCAACAAGTACAGGATATGAAGGGACAATTGAAAAAGGCATATAAGGAGGAAGAAGCTTTTTGGAATCAAAAGTCAAGATTGAGGTGGCTTAAGGAGGGGGATAAAAATACTCAGTTTTTCCATGCAACGGTGAAAGGAAGAAGGAAGAGAAATAGGTTGCAGAAGTTGAGAAAGGAGAGTGGAGAATGGACTACCAATGATGAAGAACTGGGTGGGGAAATAGCCAAATATTATGTGGACTTGTTCAGATCGACAGCAAATGGGCAGCTAGAGGAGATCTTAACGGGGATTCCTATAACTATAACTGAACATATGAACAAGGATTTGACCAAAAAAGTGGATGAAAATGAAATAAAGAATGCATTTTTTTCAATGGATCCTAATAAGGCTCCTGGAAATGATGGCATGTCCCCCCTCTTTTTTCAAAAATTCTGGAGTCTTATTAAAAAGGATTTGGTAAATGCAGTCCAAGGTTTCTTTCATCATGGAGTCATTCTCAAAGCCATAAACCATACGGTTATCTCCTTGATCCCAAAAGTTGATTGTCCTACAGAGATTAACCAGTATAGGCCTATTAGTCTTTGTCAAGTGGTCTATAAAGCATTAGCAAAAATCCTTGTTAACAGACTAAAGCCTTTCCTAAGTAGATGCATCAGCAAAAGTCAATCTGCATTTGTACCAGGTAGGCAAATTCTAGACAATGTCATCCTTTCTCATGAGTTAATGCACTATCTAAAAAACAAAAGGCAAGGTAGTGTAGGCTCTATGGCAGTGAAACTGGACATGTCTAAAGCCTATGACAGAGTGGAATGGAGCTTCTTGAAGGCTATAATGGAAAAAATGGGCTTTTGCTCAACTTGGGTAAACTGGATCATGGCATGCATAAGTACAGTAACCTACTCCTTCAATATTAATGGTGAGCACAAGGAGTTTGTCACCCCCTCAAGAGGTATCAGGCAGGGCGACCCACTTTCCCCTTACCTATTTCTGCTTTGCTCAGAAGGACTTTCAAGTTTGCTGCAGCAAGCTAAGATAGATAAGGAGCTGACAGGTATAAAAATTTGCAGAAGGGCGCCTACAATAACTCATTTGTTCTTTGCAGATGATTCCTTGGTGTTCTGTAAAGCCAACAAACAAGAAGCAGAGAAGCTGAAAAGGATCCTCAAAGTGTATGAAGAAGCAACAGGGCAACTCATTAATATGGATAAGTCCTCAGTCTTATTCAGCAAAAACACCTTGCCAGCTGTGAAGAGTGAAGTATGTCATGCGATGGGATCCATTACACAGGTTGAACAAGGCAAGTATCTTGGGTTGCCAATGGTAATAACAAGATCAAAAGAGCAGGTATTCGGATTCGTAAGGAACTCAATAGATAAGAAACTGAAAGGATGGAGGAATAAGTTGTTAAGCCAAGCAGGGAAGGAAATAATGATTAAAGCTGTGGCAATGGCAATGCCTACCTACACTATGTCCTGCTTCAGACTAACCAACAAGATATGTAAAGAAATCAGTTCGAAAATGGCTGATTACTGGTGGGGTGATGCTGATGGAAAAAAAAAGTTGCACTGGATAAGCTGGAAGAAGTTGACAGCTAAGAGAAGCAATGGAGGAATGGGCTTTAAAGATTTGAAGCTGTTTAACAAGGCTCTATTGGCTAAACAGATCTGGAAACTAATAACACAGCCAAATTTGTTAGTTAGTAGAGTACTGAAGGAGAAGTACTACCCCAAGCAATCACTTTTCAATGGCAAAGTACCGCAAAATGCTTCTTGGATCTGGCAGAGCTTAGCAGGAGTAAGAAAGGAATTGCAAGAAGGAACTAGGAGGAAGATTGGAAATGGGAGAGGTACCAGAATATGGGAAGATAATTGGATCCCAGGAACAGTGGAAGGGAAACCAACTACTACAAGGCCATTGGGGTGTCAACTGACATTAGTGTCTGACTTGATCAGGCACAACAGATGGAATAGAGTCCTGATATTCAAAACGTTTAACTCACAGGATGCGGAGAGAATATTGAGTATACCATTAAGTGTAATAGGATATGAGGACAACTATTTCTGGATGCATTCCCAGGCTGGACAGTACACAGTTCATTCTGGTTATAAAGCTTGGCTGAAGGCAGAGGAAAACAAGTACACAAGAAGGAAGGAGGATGCTGGAACAAGCTTTGAAGGAACTAACTCCAAGATATGGAATTCATTGTGGCAGCAGAAGGTAAGTCAGAAACTAAAGGTTTTCATTTGGAAATGTTTGCATGGGGGTCTCCCAGTTAAGGAGGCAATTTTCACAAGAACAAAGTTAGGGAACCCCATATGTACTGGATGTGGTGAGATGGAGGAAACGATAGAACACATGCTGCTGCAATGTGCTAAAGTGAAGGAGATTTGGAAAATGGCGCCAGTGCAGTGGGATGGGATAGAACATCTATCTGACAACTTCAACAAATGGTGGTCCGCAATCCAGGAAGCTCAAGCAAGTAGAGGTGTGGAGGATCAAGTGAATATTACCATTAACATTCTCTGGCAGATATGGAAATCCAGGAATAATAGAGAGTTTAATAATAAGGAAAAGGTGCCATTCAAGATCATTGAGAAGGCACAGCAGGAGTGGTCTGAATATAATGAAGCTAACAAAGGGGAGAATCCAAGAAGAAGCACTCAGGAAACAACGATACAGCAACGGACTGTCCAGGCTCAACATGAGAGCCACACTGGTATATCATTGAAGATCCATACGCATCAGGACAGAAGGCAAGCAGCAGTGGGGATTGGAATCACAGCCATAGATAACTTGGGACAAATGCAAGCAGCATGGGCACTTAGAGAAGGTCATCCGGGGATACATTACAAGACCAAGCTGTTGCGGTCAGATTAGCACTGCTGAAAGTTGCAGGCCAAGGCTGGAGGAATGTCAAAGTAGAACTTGACAATCGCAAGCTGGTAGAAAATATAACAGCAGCAACGTACAACAACCAGCTGATGGCCACTCTAATTGAGGACATTAGATCCATTGGTACTTTGTTTCAACAGTGCTCTATTCTTTTTGCTAATTCTAGGAAAATAGGAAGTATCAAACTGAGCATTCATGCTCTAAACATCTGGTTAGATGAAGAATGGGTGAATCCCAATTTTAGATGCTAGGCATCAGTGATCCGTAGGATATTTTGTTCCTTTGATTGGACCTTTGTCCAAAATATTGTAAAGTTTACAGTTCTATATATATAAAACAAGCTAACGTTTCGACAAAAAAATATATATATATTTTCTTTGAATTTATTTTTTATTCTCTGTTTTTTGTAGCTTTCTGTTTTTCTTTTTTTTTCCAGGTTTCTGCTTTGTATTTTCTTATGTGGGGTTGTAAGTCTGGTTTTCTTAGTGTTTTGTTTTCTCAGTGTAAGGCTGCTTTTACCTTCTTTTTTTTTTAGTGGTTTCTGATTGACAATTTGTTTTTCTTTTTTACTTTGGTAGCATATTGTTATCTGTTTTGCTTTGTTATTGTGCTTTTGTAATTTGTAAATTGTTTTTCCTTTTTCCATTTGTTTTTAAATTTTTTTTTATGGTTTGCTTTGTTTGCTCCATTTGCTTCTGGCATGCCTGTGATTGTTTTCTGTTTTTTGGAATTTTAGCTTTGTGGTTGTGTCTTGTTTGGTGCTCTTTTGAAGTTTAGTGTTTTTTTGCTTTTATACAATGTTTATTTGCGGTGGCTTTTATTGTATGTTGCTGTCATCTTTTTGGTATACTCTCTTTCTAATTGGTTTTTATCTTTATTCCTATTTGTTAGATATGTGGTCAGAACATATTGAGGGGATATTACGTGTGCCGGAGGTTGATTCTTGCATGGTTCATTGGATGTGTCAAGTTCAGCTTATTGAGGCATCGCATGTAAAGACAACCTGTGGAAGCGATTTACCGAAAAAGTTTCGCTATTTTGTTTTTTGTGATTTCCAGGTATAAATTTCTGGTAATCTGTTGTTTTACTTTCCTTGATGCTTTCACTGACTGTGCATTTATTTTTTTTAGGGCGTGAAGGTTACTGCACTTGCAATTGATGGTAACATTGACTGTGTTAGCCAGTTACTTGTGCTGTTTAGAAAGTATAGTATATCCAAGGCTCGTGTTTATAAGATCCCTGACTGTGTGCCTATTGGATCTTATCCCTATTATTGGGTTTTGACTGACAAAACTGTGCTTGATGAAGTATTTGAAATAGAGGCTCCAAAACTTCCATGTTATTTTCCGTTGGCCTCTATTTCTTCTTGTCACACTGTTGCTGAGACAGAAAAGTTTATAAGTAATGCATTATTGATTAATCTGTTTTCTATGTAATGGATACGTCTATATCTGCATGTTGTGGTTTTCACTTATCTTTTTTGGAACTTGGCATATGTCATGGGAATTGTTCTCTGTGCCTTTCCTGCCAGGGAGGTTTATTTTGAAGGGGGGCCATCTGTTGCATGGGACTATGTAATTGTTAATTATGAGTAGGTGTCGATTTTATTTTTGTTCTGCTTGTTATTTGTACTGGTTGTATTTGATTTGATAACTTTTGTTTGTTTGGCCCTGTGATTGAAGCATGAAGCCTATTATATTGACACTTTGGAATGAGTTTGAGGCCCTAGAGGGGACTGCTATTCTGGCTAATATTGCAGAGAATCCGGTTGTAATCTGCATCAGGGTTAGAGTGATTGCAGATAGCTGTAAGTTTCTTTAGTTTTTGCTTACCTTTTGCTTTTTGATACATGCAAGTTTTGTTGTTTGAATACAGCAGTAGTTGATCTCTTTGCCTGTACTTTCTCGATGTCTTTTCAGATTTGTCATTGTCCACTCAATCCTCATCTGTTATATTGGTTTCACCAAATGTGCAGCAAGCAAGAAATCTTCAGATGTGGTTTGTTGTTTTTACGTTTTGCAGTTGTTTCCTTTTTTGTTGTGTCCTGTTCTGCTTCTAGGCTTTATTATGTATTGTCTTTGACTGATTACTATACTTTGTTTAGGTTCCAGGCTAAAAGTTCGCAATTGATTCGGATGCTTCATGAACGGAGTTATGCTAACCCATGTGTATTGTTGCCTCCGGTTGCTTCTAATCATATAAGTCCAATCTCATCGATTTCTCAGGCAACTAAATTTGTGAGTGTGCTATTGACTTTTCTGGGACTGTGGCTTTTTATCCCTCTAATCTTATCTGTTTTGTTAGCTAAATCAGTTGATACCTATTTTAAATTTTTATATATGTTGCTGCCTATAGGATATAGGGACTGCTTGGATAAAGGGTAAAGTGTCTCTTAAATATAGGATGGGTAACCTATGGAACTTGGCCTGCCCACATTGTTATCTTCCTAACGATTTTGCTTTGAATTGGGGGATCATGTGCTGTTATTGTGGGCGAGAGATTTATACTTACCCAAGGTATAATGTTTTTATGTTGGTTACTGTAAATTTTTTTATGTGTTGTTTCCATAGATGTCTGATATAGGGAATTATTGTTTTTGCTCTTTCTTTTTGCTGAATTGTTTATAAATTTGTAATGTTAGGGCTTGCGTGACTCTTGTGATCACGGATGAAACTGGATCTTTGAATGCAGTAGCCATGGGGATGAGGCTGAAAAGTTGATTGGTATTAGTGTTCACCGCTTATTTCAAGCGGAGCAAGAGGTACTTCTTTTTCCTTGGCTTATATATGATAGTGGAATATTATATTGTGTGACCAATTATGTGTTATGCCAATGAGTTGTTATTTTCAATTGGCCGACAGAATGTGCACCTCACTGATCGTGTTGCAAGTGAACTCGAGGGAAAAGTCTTGTTGTGCTATGTTAAGCATTCCAACGATGTAATCAGGGCTGTTAAGGGTGCTCCGTATACAATTGTCGATGTCTATGGCGCAGATGAAATTGGAAGCAATATTTGCTGATGTCTTTTAGATGTTTATCTAATTTGCCAGTCTTTGTATTTGGTTGTTTGAACTACAATGTACAAGACATTAGGCTTTATTTTAGGTTGAGTTATGGTGGACGTGTAATGTTGTTGGTTCATGGATTATGTTTCTTTTTGGATCTGTATATATTTGGATATTAATCCAGTGTTAAATGCTCTAGTCATGGTTGTGAACAAAGACTGATTTAGTTAACCTTGTGCCACTGTTGCTGAAGTAATAGACATGTCCATTAGAAAGGGTATACCAAATGTAATATTCTTTAGTGTTATTTTTGTTTTCTTTTTATTTTATAATGGCTTAGAACCATGCTCCCTGACCTATCATTTTCTGGTGCATTTATTCTGAAGAAGAGAAAGTAAAAAATTCAGATTCGGTTGTCATTACTATGATGTTTGAAGCTTTATTTCCTTTCTGTTAAACTGAATACATTTGCCTTCGTAGTCTTAGAAATTATGTCCAATTTTGCAGACTCGTTACTACCAAGGGGTGTCTTCCATGGTCTTTGTCCTCTGAGTTGTGAATCATACATAGCATTATAAAAGCAATGAAACTAGATAAGTAGTTGTGTTATGCCATTAACTTCTAGAAAGAAAATGATTTTCGAAGTACTAATTTTCAGGAAAGTTCAGAGGTGGACCACAGGAATAGTTACTTAGGGGGGAGGTCCATTAAAACTTTATTGTATTATTTCACGGAAATTTACTGGCTTTGGAGGCATATGAAAGAAGTCTAGATAGGCAATATAAAACTATGAATTTTTTCTTTAAGAGACAGTTGAAAAGAGGCGCTGAATGAGAGAATATATAAGGTTTTTTTAAGTTGTTTATGATCATATACAAACAAAATTTATTTGTATCTGATTCAAAAGAAATAGCTCACCTGGTACCATTCTTGCGCAAATAATGGACATGTCCTTTTATAGACAAAGTGGAGCTGATTCTACAAGTGGTCCAGGCTAAAAAAGTGAATTTGTTGCCTGGCCTGTACTATTGTCTATCCTAATCAGGTACTCTATCACTTGTAATTACCCTTTAGTGGTATGCTCCTTGCTGCAGATTGTTAAGTTCCACTATGCCTTTTCGTATTGTCGTGGCCTAGCAATGATCCTTTTGTACCTTTTTCAATAGGTACAGATACAGACTTGATTTTTGTGCTGAGTGGCTACTGAATCTTTTTGTTTGTTTCTGATTTTTTTCAGATTCAATTGGTATATTCTGAGAAATATTACGAGGCTACAACGACTCTTTATAGTTGCCTTATGTGTATATATATATATATACACTAGAATTCCACAGCTTCAGGCCTCTCCTTTTTTTTTTTTTGTTCTTGAGACAACCTCATTCTCTGCAGAATATTGGTATGTTTCTGTTTGAAGTTTTTGTTCTTTCGATCATAATATTTTGTTGTTGCTACCTATATAGTTTACCACATGCTACTGAAATAAATATATAGTTTACGCTTTGTTCTTGTCTGTTTGGCACCTTTGTTAGATAATTGTAAGATCTCCTATACTGAAAGTAAAGAGCTCTATCATAGAAGCATTGAACTAGAGGAGTTTTACCTTCTGATTAGCTTATGTGGCTAAGTTAATCATCGTAATATAGTAGTCATGGCTTTCCTTTTTTTTTTAGTTGCTGCATTATGAGTGTTATAAAAGCTGTTCAGTTGCTTGTAGTTAATCTGCCATTTGCTTACTGTTCTTTTTCTATTTTTTTTATACCTTTTTCCACTGATGATATTCGAAATAATGTCCTGACTGTTGTTGCTTAGGAGTCAATATATTTTCGGAAAACAAATAGCAAAACTGTTGTTTGTGGATACTTTTTTTTTAAGACAGAATTAATTATCAATAAAATTATTTCTTGATAATTATATGGAATTTGGAATCTCATGTGGTTTCTTATTGTTTGTGGATATTTTTTTTAAGCCAGAATTAATTATCAATAAAATTATTCCTTGATAATTATCTGAAATTTGGAATCTCATGTGGTTTCTTACTTTTGTTAAGGTAGGCATGGGACTTTTGTTCTAGCTTATTTTCTCCTCATCAGAGTGATTTTAGGGGTCCTGCTAAGGATTGATTTTAAGTGTTTCGCTGATCTTTAACACTCTTTGGAAGACTGTCAGGTATTATTCTTCTGTAATTTTTTTCCTTACTGTCATTTAACCACCAACTGTTACATTATTCATGCATTTGTATAATTTACATTATTCCTGGCTGTTTATCTTAGTTTAGCTATTATATGCCCTTTTAATTTAGTGTGTGAAAAGCTAGAGTTATTTTTCTTCCTGGGATTATAATGTCCTGAAGTATGAGCATTATTCTACTATGTCGAAAGGAAAAATTAATGAATTATTGAGGCATAAATGAGACACATATGCTAGGACGAGAATTGGTTCTGTAGGAGCAATGTTATTGATGCATTAATGAAATATATATGCTTTCTAGCTGTTTTCCTTCAGGCTAATTGTTTCCTAATCTCTTAAACAACCTGTGTAGTGCTAGACTGTATTGCTTTGATGGACCATAATGCTATTAAACGTAGACGTTATTCTAATATGCTGGAAGAAAAAAAGGATGAATTGTTGAGGCGTAGACGAGAGGCATACGCTCGAAAGAAAGCTACTACTGTCCAATCTACTGAGACCTTTAGATGTTCTTCTATAGCAGAAGAAAAGAGAAATAAGTCAGTGTTGTCTGCTGCAAAAAAAAACAAAGAAAGTTGCATCTAATGTTCCTTCACATTCTGGTTGCAAAGTACGAATTTCTAAGAATAATCAGAAACCTTGTGGTTCTGCCTCTGGATTATCTCCATCAGCATTAGCTCCTAATAGTTTAATTGCTGATTCATCTGGTTGTGTGGAACAATCAGCTATCAGTAATAGCGAATTAGCTGATATGTTTGATAGTATGACACAACACCTCGAGGCATCGTCAAGCGCCTTACCTTCGCCTGTTCTTTCGGCTGATCATCATCCTGTACCTGCAGGTATACTCCTCTGGAAAAAAATAATGCTTTTAGAGAAATAATTGCCTGTCTATTCTTTTACATTTTTTTTTGTGAAACTTATAGACAATTTTTTCCCTCCTTCTTGTATCAGTTCACAATCAGTCCCTTATAGAGGAAGGAACATGTATAATCAATGTTGGATCATCTTGTTCCTCCAAGGATGGCAGTAAGAAACAAGTTCTTGTTAATGCTATTAAACGTAGACGTTATTCTAATATGCCAAAAGAAAAAAAGGATGAATTGTTGAGGCGTAGACGAGAGGAACACGCTTGAAAAAAGCAACTTCTGTCCAATCTACTGAGACCTCTAGATGTTTTTCTATAGCAGAAGAAAACAAAAATAAGACAGGGTTGTCTGGTGAAAAAAAAATGAAAGTTGCATCTGATGTTCCTTCACGTTCTGGTTGCAAAGTTTGAAATTCTAAGAATAATCAGAAAGCTTGTGGTTCTGCTTCTGGATTATCTCCATTAGCATTAGCTCCCAATAGTTTAATTGCTGATTCATCTGGTTGCTTGGAACGATCAACTATCAGTAATAGTGAATTAGCTGATCTGTTTGATAGTATGTCACAACGCCTCGAGGCATCGTCAAGCACCTTGTCTTCACCTGTTCTTTCAACTGATCATCATCCTATACCTGAAGGTATACTCCTCTGAAAAAAAATAATGCTTTTAAAGAAATAATTGTCTATCTATTTTTTTCCACCTTTTTTTTATAAAACTTATAGAAAATGTTTTTTGTACTTCTTGTATCAGTTCACAATCATTCCCTTGTAGAGGAAGGAACATGTATAATCAATGTTGAATCATCTTGTTTCTCCAAGGATGGCTGTAAACAACAAATTCTTGTTAATACTCAGCTTCAGAATACAGGTTGGTTTTAATTAATGTTACAAATTTGTTCTAGCTTAAAATGCTAATGGCTTGCATTACCTGTTTTGTTTTTACCTTTTTTTTTGTTTAGAGGGATTAATAGTTATCTATTTACTCAGGAAAAAGAAAAAGCGCTAGAAAGGGCAGCTACCCTCGTCTGAACAACATTCTGACTGAATCATCGATACTGCCTGATGCACTCAACTGTGAACACTGTGGTGCTAAGCGATTCCATTTAGAGCCACCGAGTTTTTGCTGTTCTGGAGGCGAGGTTTCTGTTGTTATCCCTGTTATGCCTTATGAACTTTTTCGGCTCTATTCTGGTACAGACGAGGAATGCATTAACTTTCGGAAGAATGTTCGTACTTATAACAACAATCTTGCATTTACATCGTTTGGTGCAAAATATGATAAGAATTTGACCAAAAATAGCCAGGGAGTTTACACTTTTCGGGTACAGGGGCAGGTCTATCATCTCTTGAATAGTTTAATGGTCACCCTCCTATTGGTATTCAGTTGTATTTCTATGATCAAAAGGAGGAGGTCTCAAAGAGACTTGGTATTTCTCCTAGGTTGCGTGAGAGTACTCTTAAACTTTTGATGGGTATTCTTGACAAGAATCCTTACACTAGGTTCTTTAAGAGTTTAAGAAACCTTCCTAATCTAGACGATCATAACATATTTCTTAATTCGAATCCCGGGTTGGATCAGCGTCTGTATAACATGCCAACCTCTTCAGAAGTTGCTGCTATTTGGACTGAGACAGATAATGAAAGCCTTGACAAGAGTGCACATACACAAGTGTATACTCATTCAAATTCAAGTCATAGGATTCAACATTATTTTGCTGGCTATGATTCACTGCAATATCCACTGTTGTTCCCTCGAGATGAATCTGGCTGGCACTATGGCATTCCAAGAAACACCATTCCTCATAAAAGAAAAAGGAAGGAATCTGATGATGATGCTCTTCCTGATGTTTCTCAAATTAGAAGTGTTGCAGGTCTTATTGACATGGAAAATGAAGGTATCATTGCTTCTGGTTTTATATTCATCCTGTTTTATTCTGTGTTGAATTGCCAGATGTTTTATGTTTAGGTGGTAAAGAGACCTTTTAGGGAAAAAAATGATATTAATTGGTCTATACAGATATTAGAGTCTAGATGAAAGCCTATTCAGTAAAGATGTAAAAAACAGCAAGTATTTAGCTTTACTGCAGCCAAAATATCTGTTATAGCAATTGTTTTTCCTTGAAACTCATAAACATCTTAGGAGGCTGATTAGTATATGGTTTCTGATCTTAAGTGTTTAGTTCTTTTATAGCATCTACTAAGGAATAATGCTTGTTCTTTTTTATAGCAAGGCAAATTCGTTCCCCCCATGTATGAAAGCAAAATAAATGCAATGCTTTAATACTGTAAATCCTCCACAACTACTTATATTTGCCCCTAATTCATTCTTTCAGACACTTTAGGTAAAATATAATTTATCCTGCCACAAAAAAAATCAGGTTTATATGCAGTGAAATCTTTAACATACATGGTCTTTGACTTCTGTCACTTCCCATAACTGTCATCCATTTCAAATACCTGAAACAATCTTTAACTTGGAAGATAGAAGCCAATTGTCAGTTTTATTCTTGATGATACCTATATATTTTGCAAACTCCAAAACCAAATTAAGGTGGTCTACTTTTTATTTTAGTATGACACAATCAAGTAAATTGATTCACTAGCAAAAGCACATTTTAGAAGGCAATGCAGAATAATATTATAAATCAGTTGAAAGAAGGAGAATTTTGGAATTGTTTAACAAGACAATGATAGAGTGCACAGAAAAATGGATGGGGAATCAAAATTCAGAAATCAAGAATCCAAGACGTAGTATGAGATCTAAATTCAAAAATCAAGGATTCTTGTTGTTCTATAATATACGTCTCATGTCAATTTTTTATGTTAGTGTCATTCCTATAATATAGCCTCTTGCTTGCTGTTATTCATATAACAATGTTATGTTATTGTTTCTTAGTTGCTTGCTAATGTCTATATATATATATATATCAGAGAGCAAACAATGAGATCCAACATGTTAATATTCTTGGAAAGCTATCTTCTTCTCAATAGCATAATAACTATCACTTGAGATCTATCAACATAGTCTATGGATGCTTAACTGTTTTGCTGTCATTATTTCAATATATAAATTAGTCTTTAATTTTCTAATTGTTTAGTTTTTCTTTTTTTTCCCCTCTATAGTTGCTGAGGAAGGGAAAAACAAACAAGAAACTATATCTACTAGAGAATACTATTGCTATAAATTACAGATTAGAGATGACGATAGATCAATGATCTTGCACACGAGGCGATTATTGCAGCAATTTGCAGTTGATATTTATGTTAAGATTGAGATTTCTAGGCTTGAATACCATAGGAAAAAACAAACGGAAATAAGAACTGAAATTCTTAAAGGTGCAGTGGATAGCATCTCTACTGGGCAGGCTGAAGGTAGTAAGATTGGTCGTCGGGTTTATCTTCTGTCTTCTTTTATTGGTGGTCCAAGGGACATGAGACGAAGGTATATAGATGCTATGTCTTTGGTCCAGAGATATGGTAAATCTGATCTATTTATTACCATTACTTGTAATAGGATGTGGAAAGAAATACAAGAAAATTTAAAATATGGAGAAAAAGCTCAAGACAGGCCAGATTTGGTCACACGGGTGTTTAGAGCAAAGTTGGAATTGCTAAAAGCTGAGATTACAAAAAAAAAAATTTGGTGAGGTCGCTGCTTGTGTATATGTGATTGAGTTTCAGAAGAGAGGTCTTCCTCATGCTCATATATTAGTTATTTTAAAACCAGAATATAAACCACTCAATCTTGAGGCTTATGACATGATAGTCTCTGCTGAAATACCCGATCCAGTTACACAGCGACATTTGTATTTTTTAGTTATGAAACACATGATTCATGGTCCTTGTGGATCATTAAAAAAAGATAATGTATGCATGAAAGATGGTATGTGTAAGAATCACTATCCAAAGGATTTCAATGACTACACTACTTATGTAGAGGATGGATATCCTCACTATAGAAGAAAGATGAACGGTCGGTCTGTTAAAGTGAGGAATCATTTGTTGGATAATAGATGGGTGGTGCCATACAATCCGTACTTGCTTGCTTTATTTGATTGCCATTTGAATGTTGAGATCTGCTCAACTGTCAAGTTAGTCAAATATCTCTACAAATATGTTTATAAGGGTCATGATCGTGTCAGCTTTCATATCCATTCAGAGAACAGCCATGAAGATGTTGATGAGATTTTAGACTTTCAGTCTGGTGGTTGGGTTGTTGCTGCAGAGGCTTTTTGGCGCATTTTTCGCTTTAAATTGAGTGAGATGACGCCAAGTGTTTATGCATTACAGGTTCATTTACCTGGAGAGCAAATGATTTCTTTCCATAACAAAACTAATCTTGCTGATTTAGTGAATGATGTCGACTTCTCAAAAACAATGTTGACTGAGTACTTTTATGTGAACCGAACAAATAAAGAAGTTCAGAATCTAAAGTTCTTGTACAAGCAGTTTCCTAAGTTTTTTGTCTGGAAACCAGCTAAAAAACGTTGGTCTCGAAGAAAGCAGCGAAGAGTCATTGGAAGATTAGTATCAGTTAGTCCTACAGAGGGAGAAAGATATTATTTGAAACTGCTTTTAACTCACGTTCGTGCACCTACTTCCTTTGATGATTTGTTAACTGTTAATGGAGTTCATATGAGTTCCTACAGATCAGCTGCTTTTGAGATGGGATTACTTCAATCTGATACATATATTGAAGATACTCTTGATGAAGTTGCTACTTTTCAGATGCCTTCTTCATTTAGAAGCTTATTTGCTACAATCCTAACTTTCTGTTCTCCATCAAATCCAAAAGGCCTGTGGGAAAAGTATGAAAGTGAACTGTCAAGAGATTTTCAAAGGAATAGATCATTAACTGGTAACAATTCTGATTGCATCAGAATGCTTGCTCTTGAGGAGATCAATAAGTTACTAGAACAAATAGGTAAGAAAGTAGATGATTTTCACTTGGTCTTTCATCATCTTCGAACTACAGCGGATCAACAGATTACAAAGGAAATTGAGGCAGAGAGAAACATTCAGTTTTCAGCAGAGGATCTGCTCTTGCCTTCAAGGCTAAATATGGGACAGAAATTTGCTTATGATACAATTATGAAACAGATTTTTTCGACAGAGGGAAAAAGTTTTTTCATTGACGGGTCTGGTGGGACCGGAAAAACATTTCTTTATCGTTCAATTCTAGCCACATTGCGCTCCCAAGGTTATATAGCCATTGCTGTGGCGTCGTCTGGTGTTGCAGCCTCTATTCTTCCTGGAGGAAGAACAGCGCATTCACGCTTTAAAATCCCACTTGATATGTCTGAAGTTAGACCATGCCAAATTAGCAAGCAAGGCTCTACTGCTAAATTGATTGTCCAGTCTAAACTCATTCTGTGGGATGAAGCCTCAATGGTTAGACGAGAAACGATTGAAGCATTCGATATGCTTCTTAAAGATATTATGGAATGCAGTGATCCTTTTGGAGGCAAAGTAGTAATTTTTGGAGGAGATTTTCGGCAAACCTTGCCTGTCATTCAGAATGCAACAAGAGATGTTTTAGTACAAGCAAGCTTCGTTAATTCGCCTTTGTGGAGCACTTTACAAAAAATTACTTTAACAGAGAATATGAGAGCTGTTATGGATCCTCCATTTTCTGAATTCTTGCTCCAAATTGGAGAAGGTCGTCAACCAGAAGATGAAGATGGGAAGATATCTTTATGTAAAGATATGGTGATTCATTATGATGGCAAAGATACTGCTCTTACCAGGTAAACATATTTAACATACACATTTTTATCACATTTGCTATATATATAACAAATTACTTTACATATTTTTGCCACATTTTTATACTAACTATGTACTTTAATAATCAGGTTAATACAAACTGTATTCAGTGACCTAAACGTGTATTCCTTGGATCCATATCAAATGATCAATCATTGTATTCTATCGGCAACAAATAGTGCTGTTGATGATGTTAATCAGACTATCATTGATAGGTTTCCTGGAGAAGCGCATGTTTATACAAGTACTGACAGGACTCTTAACGAAAAGGATCAAGGTAACTATGAAGACTTGCTTAATTCTCTCAACCCAAAGGGATTGCCTCCTCATAAGTTGATTTTGAAGAAAAACTGTCCGCTAATTCTTGTGAGGAACTTGAACCCAACAGAAGGTCTTTGTAATGGTACCAGACTAATATGCAAGGAACTGCGACAGAATACCATTTGTGCTGAAATAGCAGTAGGGCAGCACCGTGGGAAACAAGTTTTCTTGCCAAAAATTCCTCTTCAGTCCTCTGACAGCGAAAAAAATGGAATCCCTTTCAAGAGAAATCAATTTCCTGTCAAATTATGTTTTGCAATGACAATTAACAAGGCTTAGGGACAGACTCTGGATTATGTTGGAATATACTTGCGCGAGCCCGTTTTCTCTCACGGGCAGTTATATGTTGCCCTTTCTGAGGCAAAAACTTCAGCTGCGGTCAAAGTGTTGATAATGCCAGCAACTTTTCATGAAGTGGTTACTGAGTTCAGAACTAGAAATATTGTCTTTCATGAAGTTCTTGAATTATCTAAGCAGTAGTTTTTGTTCAGTTATGTAGTATCCATATTACTGGTTTAATAGCTATTTTATGCTTCATATTTCTCTGTTGTTCTTTGCCGAATCTTTTTTATCAGTTTGATATTTCATGAATTATCTAAGCAGTAGTTCTTATTCAATTATGTAATATGCATATTAATACTTTATTAGGTATTTAATACCTCATATTTCTCTATTGTTCTTTGCTGAATCCTGTTTATCAGTCTGATCTTTTTATTTTTGCTTTTTGAAAGAATGGTTAATTTGCTATGCATTGATGATGTCAAGCCAAGAATGAAGGGATGGTCAGCCCATGTAACTGTTGAGGAAAAGATTCATGTGGCTATCTCCAAGCATTCTTCCACCAGATATCAAAAAGTTGTGCTTGCTGATTCAAAGGTATGAACATATTGTATAGCAAGCTATTTTTTCTGATTTCTTTTTAGTTCAATAGAGCTATAAATTCAAATAGATCTGTTAATGTAATGTCAGGGATCAAGAGTTGAGGGAATAATGTTCAATAGTGCTGTGGAAAAGATGGGACCAAAATTTCATGTTTTCAAAAAGTATCTTATATCAAATGCTGATGTTAGAGAAATTGAGGAAAAGTATCAGACTAATGGTCTTACAATTCAATGGGTGATAAGCACACGAACTGTTGTTGAAGAATTAGATGAACAAGGATGTGATGTTTTACCGTCTCAATACTGCAAGCTTTAAAGACTTGCCCCTTTATGCTGATTCGAAATCTCATGCTGTTGGTGAGCATCATTGATAGGTTGTAATTTATCCATTTATTTTATTATTAATTCCTCCTATTACCTGACTTGATGCGGACTTATTTGCTGGATTCTACTCACTTTTAGTATTTGACGTTTATTTCAGGGAGTAGAATATAAATATGATAACAGGTGCCAAATTGACAGAAAAAGAATTCAGATGATTAAGCTTGTTCCAGGGGTATTTTTGGAAAAGAAGATGTCATGCCCACTTTGGTAATTTCCGCAAAGAAATGACGAACGAAGGGCTTCTTCCTGGAGAGGTGCGCCGCAATTAAGAAAAGGGGAGAAAAAGAGGAGCTTGTTTTTTGGGGGATCTTCGGCTGTAGCTTAGCTTGGGAGGGTTGACTTTTCTTTGAACTTTTGCTCTTGACTTGTCTTACGCATGGCAGCAGAGGGCCATTCTGAGTTCTTGGACTCTTCTCTTGACTTAGACTTTTCTTGTTAGTTTTCTTTTGGCTAGTCTCCACGCATGTCAGGAGCAAGGAACGGGAGCCTGATTTCTTTGACTTTTCTTTCTTGCACTTTGTAAATGACTTTGCTCTACGAATGCTAGGAACAATTAACAAGCTTCAATTGCCACCTGCGCTTTTCATTTGCTTTCCAATTGTTCGACGAATTGCAACTTCCCGAAACGCAGGCAATGGCCGCTGCTCTCTCTACAATTTCCCGCGAGCTTAGTTCATCCAATATGAGCTAATCCTCTCGTTCTAGTCAAGAAACGACGGATGCTTTGGGTCACCTGAAAATTGTGAGATCGATTTAATTTAATCTTTTCCTTTTATTTATTGGTATTCGTGTATTCCCTGATTACTATGCCTATGGTTATTTAATTAGTTGATTGTCTTGGATCCAGATAATTAGTTGATTTGGTAATCTATTGTCAATTGGGGTATTAAATCCGTAATTGTTTAATTACCTCAAAATAGTGACAACTGGCACTATTAGATTCGTGTCAGGGGGATACGCGGGCTAATCTAAAATAACCCTGATAGTGTGTTATTTGGTTAGAATAGGGCTCCTCTAATACGTAAGGCAATTGGGGAATTAAATTCTACGGGCGTACCTAGGATTATTTCTCAATTAGAGCAGTGATTAACGGGCGTACCTTGATCACCGACACAGTAAGGAGGGGTTGGCTGCCATCGTTTGTTTGGTAGTTATAACCTATTTATTGATAAATAATTGGGATTGTTTTGCATCAATGATCAATTAGGTGAACCATTGCTGAAGTTATTTCTTGGCTAGATCTTTAGTTAATATTTCCTTGATTGTAGTGGATTGCCATTTGACTTTTAATTGCCTACTTTATTTTATTTTTGATTGCTTCCTTGTTTTAATTGATTTAGGCCTTTAATTATTGTTATCCTGAGTTCAGTAAATTGTGGTTTAATTTCTAGTTAGTTGTTTATTTTTATTTTCTCATTTGAATTTAGTTAATTATCGTCGTTCCTACAAAATCACCCTCTGTGTTACTTTGGATTTCTTAAGAAACAAATATACCCAGTCTCTGTGGATACGACCCTACTTGCCCTGTCTACAAATTCATAATTATTTGTGAAAAGGAATAACCATCCCATTCGGGTATATCGGATCAAGCAAACTCTTCGGGAACAGGGTGAATCAAGTAACCCATTGCACACCTAGAGTCCCTGCTCCAGTACTTAGAATTGGGTTTTGGTCATTTTAACTGGCAATTAGGTTTAATTTTATTATTGCACAGGCTGACGACCTGTCAATTTTTGGCGCCGCTGCCGGGGACTGGCGTTATTATTTGTTTCTTTTTAAATTCAATTTTTGTCCTAATTTTCTGGTTCTCTTCTAGTGTATGCCTCGATCTTCTCGCACAGGTGATTTGATTTTTGACCCTGAGGTAGAGAAGACCGCGCGTAGAATGAGAAAGGAAACCAGACAGCTCAGAGAAGAGCACTCCAGTGCTACATCTCAAAAACCCGAGTCAGAAGTTGAACCAACAGATTCGTTTGGTAACACTTCGAGTGACTCTGACCAGGAGGAGGGCACCATGACTAATGCACAAACATTAAGGGAGTTGGCTGCTCCTGACTTAACTCAGCAGCCGTTATGCATTACTTTTCCCGCTTTAAATGACAACATTCCATTTGAACTAAAATCTGGTCTGATTCAGCTTTTACCCTCTTTTCATGGTTTACCAGGTGAAGAGCCGTATAAGCATCTGCAGGAGTTTGATGTCGTGTGCAATAGTATGAAACCCCCGGGAATCACAGAAGAGCAGATAAAAATGAGGGCATTCCCCTTCTCCTTGAAAGATTCTGCGAAAGACTGGCTGTACTACCTGTCACCAGGTAGCATCACCACGTGGGGCCAATTGAAGAAAAAATTTTTGGATAAATATTTTCCTGCGTCCAGGGCTGCAAGTCTAAGGAAAGAAATTTGTGGGATCAAGCAGCATCCAGGGGAGTCACTTTACGAATATTGGGAACGGTATAAGAACTTGTTGCGCAGGTGCCCCCAACACCAAATAAGTGAGCAGTTGATCATACAATATTTTTATGAGGGGCTCCTTTTTAGAGACAGGAGCATCATTGATGCTGCAAGTGGAGGGGCACTGGTGAACAAAACCCCTCAGGAAGCACGGGAGTTAATAGAGGGGATGGCAGAGAATTCACAGCAATTCAGTTCAAGAGAGGATGTCCCAATACGTAGGGTGAATAAAGTAGAGACATCCTCTATGCAGCAGCAGCTAAATGAGTTGACTGCGTTTGTTAGGCAACAGGCTGTGAGAAATGCATCACAAGCCAGGGTATGCGGGATTTGCACTGGTATAGGTCACTCTGCAGACATGTGCCCAATGATTCAGGAAGAAACTGCAGAACAGGTGAACATGGCTGATCACGCGCCCGCGCCAAAGAAGCAGTACGACCCTTACTCAAGCACTTACAACCCCGGGTGGAGAGATCATCCCAACCTCAGTTATGGAGGGAATAGGCAACCCAACTTCACGCCGAACAGGCAGTCTAACTTTGTGCCAAATAAGCCACCAGGGTACCAGTAGCAATACCAACCCCGACCACCTCCGTCCCCTCAATCTGGTTCATCTACGGAGGAGATGCTGAAACAAGTGATGACAACCATGGCGCAAAATCAGCAAAGGACGGAGGCAGCTATTATGCAAAATCAGCAAAGAACGGACTCCGAAATGCAGGATATAAGGAATCAGATAAGTCAAATGGCCACCAGAATGAACCGTTTGGAGTCCCAGATCCAAGGGAAGCTGCCATCTCAACCGGAGTTGAATCCGAAGAACGTGAGCGCAATGACCCTAAGGAGTGGGAAAGAAATTCAGGGGCCTGAACCTGTGATTTCTAAGGACAAGGATAAAGAGAAGATAAAAAAGGAGCTTGAAAGGGAGGACAGCAATGGTGCAGATCCAAAGGTACTTCCTGACCCAATAATTACAGTTAAAACTAACCCGCCTCCTTTTCCTAGCAGGTTGGAAAAATCGAAGAAACAGGATAAGGAGAAGGAGATCTTGGAGGTTTTTCGCAAGGTTGAGATAAATATCCCCCTCTTAGACGCCATCAAACAAGTACCAAAATATGCCAAGTTCCTGAGGGACTTGTGTGTCAACCGAAGGCGATTGAGGGGGGATGAAAGGATTATTGTTGGGGAAAATGTGTCCGCGGTCCTGCAGAGAAAGCTTCCCCCGAAGTGCGGGGATCCAGGTATGTTTACTATTCCCTGTAGGATAGGTAATACTGTGATCAGAAGGGCCATGTTGGATCTGGGAGCATCAATTAATGTCATGCCTAAATCTATCTATGCTTCTCTAAAATTAGGTCCATTGAAAGAAACTGGAATAATTATTCAATTAGCTGACCGAACTAATGCATATCCTGATGGGTTGGTTGAAGATGTGTTGGTAAAAGTTAATGATTTGGTGTTTCCAGCTGACTTTTATGTACTTGATATGGATGATGATCACTCCCCTGATCTCTCACCTTTGTTATTGGGTAGACCTTTTATGAGCACAGCACAGACGAAAATTGATGTTAATAAGGGTACCTTGTCCATGGAGTTTGATGGGGAAATTGTGCATTTTAATATTTTTGATACTGTGAAGTACCCCTCGAACTCCAACTTTAGCTCAGTTTTTTCTGTGAGTGCTATTGACCCTATAGTGCAGGAAGTGTTTGAAACTGATGGCAGGGATGAGCTGGAGGTGGCTTTAACCAAGCACCTCGAGTTGGAGACAACTCCTTAGGTGGAGTGGAGTGAGGATTTAAAATGCACAATCGGTGCATTACACTCGTTGCAGACCACCACGAAAAGGTATGAAGTCTTACCTATTTTTACTCCCGAGCCTCACCAGAGGGTATTGCCATCTGTGGTGCAGGCACCTGTACTGGACTTGAAACCTCTACCAGAACACCTGAAATATGTATATCTAGGTGATAATGAGACACTTCCGGTGATTATCTCATCGGCACTGTCAAAAATCCAGGAGGAGAAACTGATCCGGGTCCTTAGAGAGCATAAAGAGGCGATAGGTTGGACAATTGCAGACATTAAGGGGATCAGCCCGGCCATCTGTATGCATCGGATTAGGCTAGAAGACGATGTCAAACCTGTTAGGCAGGCTCAAAGAAGGCTCAATCCCCTCATGATGGAAGTTGTAAAGAAAGAGATTCTAAAATTGCTAGATGTGGGGATCATCTTTGCAATATCTGATAGCTCTTGGGTGAGTCCGGTCCAGGTAATCCCAAAGAAGGCAGGAGTAACGGTAGAAGCCAACCAAACGGGTGAGCTCGTGCCAGTGCGCAAACCCACGGGATGGAGGCAGTGTATAGACTACCGTAGGCTAAACGCCGTCACTAAAAAGGACCATTTCCCTCTCCCTTTCATTGACCAAATGGTTGAACGTTTAGCTGGTAGAGCTTATTATTGCTTTTTGGATGGATTTTCAGGATACTTTCAGATAGCAATTGCCCCAGAGGATCAAGAGAAGACAACCTTCACGTGCCCGTTCGGGACCTTTGCTTATAGACGAATGCCATTTGGGTTGTGCAATGCACCTGCAACATTCCAGAGGTGTATGGTAAGTATTTTTTCTGAATACGTGGAGAAAATTATTGAAGTTTTTATGGATGATTTCAGTGTGTATGGTGATAGTTTTGATACATGTCTAGATAACCTGAAAATTGATCCTGATAAGGTGTATAGAGACTAATCTTGTGCTTAATTGGGAAAAATGTCATTTTATGGTTGAGTATGGGATAGTCCTGGGTCATATTGTGTCATCTAAGGGCATAGAAGTTGACAAGGCTAAAGTAGACATTATTTCTGCATTACCTTATCCCGCGAGTGTGCGAGAGGTGCGTTCTTTTCTTGGACATGCAAGTTTTTATCGAAGGTTCATCAAGGATTTTTCAAAAATTGGAGCCCCATTGTTCCAGCTCCTACAAAAGGATGCGACATTCGACTTCAATGACAAATGTGAGAAGGCTTTCGACAAGTTGAAAGAATTGTTGACTTCACCCCCAATTATCCAGCCCCCTGACTGGAGTCTGCCATTTGAGATTATGTGCGATGCCAGTGATCATGCCGTAGGGGCTGTATTGGGGCAAAGAGTAGGGAAGGCAGCTCACGTCATCTATTATGCATCCCAAGCATTGAATGGAGCCCAGTTGAATTACTCCACCACTGAGAAGGAGCTTCTTGCAGTTATTTTTGCTTTAGAAAAATTCAGATCATATTTGCTAGGTGCTAAATTAATTGTATTTTCTGACCATGTAGCATTAAGGTACCTAATGACCAAGAAAGATGCAAAGCCGAGGCTCATCAGGTGGATATTGCTCCTACAGGAATTTGACCTGGAGATAAGAGACAAAAAAGGTTCAGAAAATCTAGTAGCAGACCATTTAAGTCGCATACCAATTGGGGAGGATAATGAGCCGTTGAGGGATGCATTCCCTGAAGAGCATTTATTTTCCTTAAATTCTCAATTGCCTTGGTATGCTGATTTGGTCAATTATCTAGTAACGGGTGATTTTCCTGCAGGTTGGCCAAAATCGAAGAAGGATAAATTGAAGAGTGACGCCAAATATTTCATCTGGGACGACCCGTACCTATGGAAGGGATGTGCCGACCAAATAATGAGGAGATGTGTAAGTGAAGTGGAGTTTCAATCAATTTTAGTTTTTTGTCATACTTTTGCCTGTGGAGGTCATTTTGGACCTAAGAGAACTGCTCATAAGGTTTTAGAAAGTGGATTTTATTAGCCTTCATTGTTTAAGGATGCCTATGTGTTTTGCAAGTCATGTGATCGCTGTCAAAGGGTAGGTAATATAGCCCGTAGAGATCAAATGCCCCAAGTCCCGTTGATTTTTGTTGAAATTTTTGATGTATGGGGTATAGATTTCATGGGGCCTTTTCCTACTTCATTTGGTTTTTTATATATTTTGCTGGCAGTTGATTATGTGTCTAAATGGGTGGAGGCTAAGGCCACTCGAACTAATGACTCGAAAGTAGTTGCAGATTTTATCAGGTCTAATATTTTTGTGCGATTTGGAATGCCTAGACCCATTGTCAGCGATAGGGGAACGCACTTTTGCAACAAAACCATAGCTGCGTTGTTTCGCAAGTATGGTGTACTCCACAGGGTCTCAACGTCATACCACCCTCAGACCAACGGTCAAGCGGAGGTGTCGAATCGGGAGATTAAGTCCATTTTAGAGAAAATGGTGCGCCCTGATAGGAAAGATTGGAGCCAAAGGTTGGAGGACGCACTCTGGGCCTATCGGACGGCGTACAAGACTCCTATAGGGATGTCACCGTACATGTTGGTATTTGAGAAGCCGTGTCACCTTCCAGTGGAGTTCGAACACAAGGCTTTTTGGGCGATAAAACAATGTAATATGAATCTAGAAGAGGCCGGTGTTCAACGGAAGCTGGATTTGCAAGAATTGGAGGAGATCCGGAACGAAGCATACGAAAACGCCTTGATTTATAAGGAGAAAAGCCGGGCATTTCATGACCAACAAATTTCAAGAAAAACATTTGAAGTTGGTCAGAAGGTCCTCCTGTACCAATCCAGGCTCAAGTTATTCCCAGGTAAGCTACGTTCCCGTTGGATTGGACTTTTTATTGTTACTCACGTTTTCCCATATGGTGCAGTTGAAATCCGAAGTGCTAAGACAGACAACAAGTTTGTAGTGAATGGACACCGTCTCAAATATTATTACGAAGGATTTTCAGGAAGAGAGGTGGAGACAATAAGGCTAGACGCACCACCGTGTCCTAATCATTGACAGTTTACCATGTCTAGCCAAAGACATTAAAGAAAGGCGCTCATTGGGAGGCAACCCAATTGTTCCTTTTAGTTGGTTGTTCAATTTCGTGTAGTAGTTTAGAAGTGTTCTCCTGGAATTCGACTGATTTTGGGTTTCAGTTTTCGTTTTTGCTGATTTATAGGTGCCCTTCAGTCATGACGTGCCCGCGTGGTGATGTGCAGGACGCTCACGATCAGGAAATTCTGATACTTCTGGGAGCTCTCCTACCCTCTGGGAGCTCTCTTGACCTCTTGACGTGCCCGCGTCACGTTCGCGGGAAAGGTAAGGATTCAAATAAAAAAAAAATATATAGAGAAACTTTTATTATTATTTCATTTATTCAAATAATTAAAAAAAACATTTAAAAAATATATAAAATATATAATAATAATAATAATAATAAAATTAAAAAAATAAAAAATAAAAAAAAACAAGAAGAAGAAAAATCTTTCCCCTAAACCGTAGCCTTAAAAAAAAAAATTTCTTTTTTCTTTTCCTTCTTTTTCTTTTCTTTCTTTCCTTTCTTTTTCTTTCTTTCTTCTTCTTTCTTTCTTTCTCTTTTCTTTCTTTCTCCCCTGCTGCTCCCCTGCTCTCTGCGCACGCCACAGCCGCCGCACGCTCGACCAGCCCAAGCCGCCGCCATCGTTGCTGGAGTCGCACGCCAAGCCGCCCGCCATCGTCGCGCGTCGCGCCTCTGTCCGCCACTCCTCAGTCCCAGCGCCGCCTCTGCGCACGTCGATCGAGAGCAGCGCAGCCACCGCCAGCTCCGCACACGCCGCGATCTCTCTCTCTCTCTCTTCGATCCGCAGCCACCAATCGACTGCCGCTAACCAGCAGATCTGCCTCGCGTCCGCCGCCGCTGCTGTAGCTCCATCGCCTGCCATTCACGCGCGCCGCCCTCTGCCTTGCCGTGTCCAGCGCCGCGAGCCACATCCACCAACACAGGTCCCTCGCGTCCGCCGCCTTCCATCGCTCGTGACGCCACCAGAGCTCCTACACCGCCGCGGCCTCCTGTCCTTCACCATGCGCCCCTGTTCGCGAGCAACCCAAGTTCTCAAGTCAACGGCCAGCTCCCCCAAGTCGACGCTGCCACCACTAGAAGCGCCGCTACTCTTTCTTGTTTCCAACATCAGTGGAGGTATTTGAGTGTCAACCCTCACGCCTTGGTAGTAATAGCTACTGTTTGGGTTTGAGACTTAACTTGTCGGAATTTTACACTTGGTTATTGATTCGGGGCCACTAGTGAGCTGTGAGTTGCCTGTCAATGTGGGGGTTTTGTCTGCTTGGTTCGGGGTCATTTGCGTGGGTTCTTTGCTTAGTTTTTGGGTTAAATTAATTCTGATATCACCTATTGAATTGGGAGATTGTGCTTCCTGGTTCCCTTGCTGGGGTCGGTTGGGGTTTGTTCGAGTATTGGGGACAATATGGGTTCATATTAGGTGCTATTGCTTTACTACTGCATTGCTCTGCTCTAGCAATTTCCCTGATTGTGGACGGGGCTTGGTACAGTGGTACTGGTTATAGTATTTCCACTCGAATTTGTTACTTATTTTGGAATTGGATGAACTTGTGCAATTGTTTGGCCAACTGGAGCCATTTGTTCAAATTTTTTGGGGTGAGCTGACATATTGCAGTCGTGGGTCACTGTGCTGAGGTCTAGTTTGCTTTTATTGCTAGAGGAATTATTGGGGTTTTTACGGAGGCTTTGCTTGCGTTAATTTTGCTATTGCATATTGAGTTGAGATCCTGTGCCGGTTGACTTACTTTGTGGGGTTCATCTTGCACAATTTCATTGTTGGGAGGACCTCTGACTGTTTGCTTCAACTTTTGAAGTGGGAAGGCCTTGACTGGGCATCTTTAACTGCTGAAATCCTTCTTTTTTTGTTCTTGATTGGGTTACTACTGGACATTCTTGCTTTGTTCTGCTGAGTTTCCTTTGCTATTGCATTTGCTGGTTTCCATACCTGTTGGAGTTTGACGGGATTTTTGTGTCAATGCAAGTTTAATTCCGAATTATACCCGTTTTTTCTGCAAGTATACAGGCCAAAAGCGTAGTATTGGGTATGTATCGGGTCGATCCCACGAGGAGCAATTAGAACAATTATTAGATACTAATTTACTCTATTATTTAGACTTACAATAAATTTGAGTAGAAAATTCAGAATTTAATTCAACTACAAAAATTCTTAGCTAGATAAATGCAATTCACAATAGGAGTAGAATTCACTAAGTATTAAGATCTAGGGATGTAGATTCCACATATAATACAAAAGATCTAAAACGAATGAATTTAACACTTGTTACTACTCTTGTTTAACCAAGGATTCATTTCCAATAATACCAAAATCACATTCTCATGATAATAATGGGTTAAAACAGATTAGTTTTCCCTAATCTCTTGGTAAATACTAATTCTGTTTTGTGCACACAGGAAATGTAGATTTCATCCACTTGAATGTATTTCTATTCTCATGAATATACTACTCAAGCTCTACTTATGTCATTCCATTATTTTTACCATTTCTCAATGAGTAAAAACAACTACAAACTTGCTATTGGTGATCAAACAACAACAAGTAATCCAACATACACAAGTAGATAGGTTAATATATACAAGATATAACAAGTATAAATCACAATCACTTCATATCACTTGACCATAAGCTTCATCTACTCCCTAGATTAAGGAAATTAGCTACTCATGAATGATGAAACACTCAGAACTTCATTAATGTAAATCATCATGAATTACAAATACAAAAAGAGTAAAGAAAGTCTTAGCCAAGATATGGTGAAACCTTCCAAAAATCTCCTTTGTCTTGAACTTAGATGATTACAAGATGAAACCTCAATTGCCCCTTGCAAGTACCTAGCTAGAGAGAATATGTTTTTCTGTAAGAAGCTAAGCTACGTATGGCTCTCCAGACCTCTCTCAATGTCTTAGCATAAAAACTACTCAAAGGCTCTATTTTTCCAAGTCAAATTCTAACCTTTGATTCCCAAATCTCCACTTTGTTAGCATAGTCAAAAACCAATATTTTTGACTTGAAAATAAGCCATCTTTATTGCCCTTTTGTCTTCTGAGGCATGTGCACCGAATTCTCTTGCAGATTGTAGCTGGAAAGTAGTTTGAACATAAGAGAATTGACTGAGCAAATTGCAGAATTACGGCCAGAAAACGCGCCTACACAAAACGCGGTTACAAGTCACGTTTTGTGTACTCGCGTATTCACTTTGGCCTTACTTCATCTGCGATTTTCTCTATCATAAAGGCCGAACTGGCTTTTGTGCAAAACACCAAAGTTGTAACCCTTTGAGTTAGCTTTCCAATACTTTAAAAATCATCCATATCGGAGTTGTGCAGCCTGAGATATGGTCGAAATACTATCACCTGGTCAAACCTTTGTTTCCAGTTTCGACCACAGAGTGCAGCTTCTGTATTCCGACGTTTTGTCCATGAAAATGGCAGAATTGGATTTCGATGTCTTCATACGAATTGTAGGTCTCTTTCTTAGCTTTAAAATGGTATAAAGATCACCTCAATCTGATCAGTGTAGCTCCAGATATAGTCGAAATACTGAAAAGTGTCAAAACTGATTTGTCTTGCATTTCCTCACTTGAACGTTTTTCACTTCATTCTTCTTGTTACCACTTGAATTCATCACCAACTTTCTATTTTTCATCTCATTTGACATCCTTTGGTGATTGAATCATCATTCCTGCATAAAAATGAAGTTTTTATCATAAAAATCACTAAAAATGCAATATTATCCACTTTTACCAAAAATATATAATTTTACCAAAAACCTCTTTATTTTATGTATAAAACTAGATAATCAACTCAAAATTAACTAATAAAATGCACTTAAAAATACGTAAAATAAACTCTTATCAAATACCCCCACACTTGAATCATTGCTTGTCCTCAAGCAATATGAAATATAAAACCAACAATGATCCAAAAATTGAAAATAAACATATGTAGTATTTCAACTCCATTTCCTTGAATCAAGGTAAATAACCCTTATGTGATCTTTCAATTAACCTCAAGTACTCATAATATCAAGCAAAGAAGAGCCAAGTATACCATAATTTTACTAATTTAACTCCATTTCTCATTTTTACCCAATTTTTCAAGCAAGCAACTCATATAGTCAATAAAGATGCTAACTAATCTCATGATTAACTTCTTTTTTCTTAAAGAGGGATTTAGTTTCTTTTATTTTCTTCTTTTTTTTTTATATATATTTTAAGAGTTAAATACTACTTAAGTTGTGAAAAATACCTTTTTACGCGAAGATCGACATTTTTAGATGCAGATCCCCGGTTACTCAACATTTCACATACTCAAGTTGCTTTGCATCCTCTTAATTCAAGTACCTTTTTACGCGAATGTCGACATTTGTAGATGCCAACCCCCGGTTACTTGGTACGAGAATCATTGGAGTAGAATAACCCTTCTTTTTTTTTTAATATATATATATAATAAAATTCCCTCTAAGAGTAATCATGAGAAGAGTATGACACTTATTAACCATATTAATTTCTTATCTTATAAAATTAGATAAAAAGAAGAATTTTCATCAAATATACAAAATGTAGGCATAATTTTCTCCACTTTACTAGATATACTTTCCTATAGATGAAAAAATTATAATCACATAAAAATCATTTCCAAATTTCATGAGAAAAGAAGTATCAAAATCACATATTTTTATTTCAAAAGGATAAGTGACAAAATTTTATTTATTTATTATAGTTAATAACCTATATATGTATAAGGTTTTGGAAAAATTTTGACAGAGTCTCCCCTTAAAAGTGAACTAAATCTCCCTGCCAGCAACCACAAGAAACACAATTTAAGCACAAGAATTATATCGAACACAACTAAAATCACAAGTACCACACATTTCTTCCCCCATACTTAGAATACACATTGTCCTCAATGTGTAGGGAAAGAAAAGAAAAGAAACAAAAGA